ATGCTGGAGCAGTGGCGAGAATGATGGTCTCTAGGTACCATGATGGTAACACTGGAACAGTGGCGAGAATGATGGTCTCTAGGCACCATCATGGTAACACTGGAACAGTGGCGAGAATGATGGTCTCTAGGTACCATGATGGTAATGCCGGAACAGTGGCGGGAATGATGTTCTCTAGGTACCATGATGGTAATGCTGGAGCAGTGGCGAGAATGATGGTCTCTAGGTACCATGATGGTAACACTGGAACAGTGGCGAGAATGATGGTCTCTAGACACCATGATGGTAACACTGGAACAGTGGCGAGAATGATGGTCTCTAGGCACCATGATGGTAACACTGGAACAGTGGCGAGAATGATGGTCTCTAGGCACCATCATGGTAACACTGGAACAGTGGCGAGAATGAATCGGGGAATGGTGGTACTCGGGGATAAAGTTAATATCTTTGGGGTGAAATATGACTCCAAACTGACTATGAAGAACCACGTTGTAAATCTTGAAAACAAGGCGGCCAGGAAACTTACAGCATTTAGACGTCTCACATCCGCTTAATAATAGAGGCTGCAAGATTCTGTGCGAAGCACAAGTACACTCACATCTTGAGTATGTTCCACTTTCTTGGATTGCCTGCCCACCGTCTCATCTGCGACTTCTGTCCAGGCGAGAGACGACTCGTCTCTCGCCTGGACCCAGCCTGTACAGAGCTATCACTGTTATGTACAAGGTCAATGCTGTTAAGGTGCCACACTTTGCTCCACTCCGAGAACAGTGAGAAGACAGCTTGTACACCACAAGACGGGCAGCCAACATCAACTACACTCTGGTTGCAACCTTCTCCAGAACATCACTTCATCTGAGATCATTTATTCCTAAGATGACTCGAGTCTGGAACATGTTCTTACAACATAATGACACCACAGAAATAGTTAGTTGACCAAATTAAATCATTGGAGAACAGCTGGACCACAAATGGTTCCAACTTCATCCAGTGAGCTGATGTAGGTAACGGTTCTTAACTTGTAAATAAAGTTAGCAACCCTCAACCTAACTTTGTAAAACACTGTAAATATAGAGTCAGGGAGAGAGGGAGGGAGAGAGAGAGAGAGAGAGAGAGAGAGAGAGAGAGAGAGAGAGAGAGAGAGAGAGAGAGAGAGAGAGAGAGAGAGAGAGAGAGAGAGAATGTATTTGTTGTAAGCGTCGAAGCTTGATTAAATTTTCCAGCTGATATCTCAAATTCATTTAGAAATGGAGAGGGTGAGGGAAGGGGGGGGGAAGTGAGGTGTGAGGAGAGGGGGTGAGGGAAGGGGGGGAAGTGAGGTGTGAGGAGAGGGGGTGAGGGAAGGGAGTGAGGAGAGAGGGGTGAGGAGAAAGGGTGAGGTGAGGCGGTGAGGGAAAGGGGGTGAGGAGAGAGGGATGAGGAGAGATGAGGGGATTGAGTGAGGGGAGGGGATGAGAAGGGAGGAAGTAATGGGAAGGGGTGAGGGAAATGGGAAAGAGGGGTAATGGGGTGCGGAAGACCCCCTCTTACTTTCATAAGACCAAACAACACTGACTAGCTGACTAGTTGACTGACTGATTGACTGGCTGACTGACTGGTTGACTGGCTGGCTGGTTAACTGACAGACTGGCAGACTAGCTGACTGGTTGACTGAATGGTTGACTGACTGGATGGCTGAGTGACTGACTGATTGGTTGACTGACTGGCTGACTGACTAACTGGCTGGATGACTGACTGTCCAACTGACTACCAAAATCCACTGACCCCATATTTCATCACCCTAGCCTCCTCTACCTCAATGCACGCCAAAGGAATAGTGCAGAGTGCGGAAGTTTCTAAAACAGTTAAATATCAATCTTGAAGGTTTGAAGTCTATCCCAAGAGGCATTCACGAGTCACCACATAGAAACCAATATCCCAATTTCAATAAAAATGGGAAATTAGGGCATCTTTAGCCCTAAATTAATTCTAACCTTCCATTAACACCAGGTTTGAAGCCAAGCTGAAGAAGCATTACCAAGGTATCAAGACAGTCAGATGAACCACTTTTCTTTAATTATTTCCGAGTTAAAAAAGAAAGATCTGAACTTAAGCATAAAAAACATCGAACTTTCCACTGAGACCTGAGGAACGTTCAAGTTTAATTAGGTACCCTATTAGGTACCTAACACCTCGAGTTTAATCAGGTATCCTAGGAGGTACCTAACACCTCGAGTTTAATTAGGTATCCTAGGAGGTACCTAACACCTCGAGTTTAATTAGGTATCCTAGGAGGTACCTAACACCTCGAGTTTAATCAGGTATCCTAGGAGGTACCTAACACCTCGAGTTTAATTAGGTATCCTAGGAGGTACCTAACACCTCGAGTTTAATTAGGTATCCTAGGAGGTACCTAACACCTCAAGTTTAATTAGGTATCCTAGGAGGTACCTAACACCAAGTTTAATTAGGTATCCTAGGAGGTACCTAACACCTCGAGTTTAATTAGGTATCCTAGGAGGTACCTAACACCTCAAGTTTAATTAGGTATCCTAGGAGGTACCTAACACCTCGAGTTTAATTAGGTATCCTAGGAGGTACCTAACACCTCGAGTTTAATTAGTATCCTATGCGAGGTAATCTAAACACCTCAAGTTTAATTAGGTATCCTAGGAGGTACCTAACACCAAGTTTAATTAGGTAACCTAGGAGGTACCTAACACCTCGAGTTTAATTAGGTATCCTAGGAGGTACCTAACACCTCAAGTTTAATTAGATATCCTAAGAGGTGCCTAACGCCTCGAGTTTAATTAGGTATCTTAGGAGGCACCTAACACCTCGAGTTTAATTAGGTATCGTAGGACGTACCTAACACCTCAAGTTTAATTAGGTATCCTAGAAGATACCTAACTCCTCGAGTTTAAGTAGGTATCCTAGGAGGTACCTAACACCACGAGTTTAATTAGGTATTACCTGGAGAGAGTTCCGGGGGTCAACGCCCCCGCGGCCCGGCCCTAGGAGGTACCTAACACCTCAAATTTAATTAGATATCCTAGGAGGTGCCTAACACCTCGAGTTTAATTAGGTATCCTAGGAGGTACCCAACACCTCGAGTTTAATTAGGTATCCTAGGAGGTACCTAACACCAAGTTTAATTAGGTATCCTAGAAGATACCTAACTCCTCGAGTTTAATTAGGTATCCTAGGAGGTACCTAACACCAAGTTTAATTAAGTATCCTAGGAGATACCTAACACTTCGAGTTCAATTAAGTATCCCAGAAGGTACCTAAAATCTCTAGTTTAATAAGGTATCCTAGGAGGTACCTAATACTTCAAGTTCAGTTAGGTATCCTATTAAGTACCTATTATCTCAAGTTCAGTGAGGTATCCTAGGAGATATCTAACATCTCAAATTTAATTAAGTACCTAACACCAAGTTTACTTAGGTACCTGACACCTCAATTTTAAATAGGTACCTAACAGCAAGATTATTTAGGTACGTAACACCTCAAGTTTAATCGGGCACCTAACATCAAGTTTAATTAGGTGCTTAACACCTCAAGCTTAATTAGGTACGTAACACCTCAAGCTTAATTAGATACCTAACATCTCAAGTTTAATTAGGTACATTACACCTCCTCCACGTGCTCACATGATTGTGGTTGCTAGGGATCGAGTCTCAGCTCCTGGGGCTCTCACTCTCACCTGGACTTAGGTTCCTGCAGGTGCAGGTAAGCAGGTGAACACCTGCAAGAATATTCTTTAAGAGGGAACATATTGACCTCCAGCTCCTCAGTCTTCTTAATGGTCAAAAAACATCTGTTTCTATCTCTGAAATGTTTCTGACAGGTGTTTTATACACCTGTAAGTCGTAATATGAACACGTGTTCCTACCTCAGGGCAAAGGTTTATCGACAGGTGTTTCTTAAAATCGGAATTCATAATTAAAACACCTGTTTCTTCTAGTGACAGGTGTTTTTGTACAATTATAAGTCATCATAAAAACACATGTTTCTTCTACAAGGCAAAAAAAAAAAGCATGACAGGTGTTTTTCCAGATTGAAATAATAATAACATGTTTCTAGCAACAGGTGTTTTTTACAATTCTAAGTCGTAATAAAACACGTGTTTTACCTACACGGCAAAAATATGGTGACTGACAGGTATTTTTTAAAGGATTTTAGTGATAATAAAACACGTATTTTTCTATGTTTCATCGACAGGTGTTTTTTTTTTTACATTTCTAAGTCGTAGTGAAAACACATGTTTTTTTACAAGGCAAAAATGATTGTCAGATTTTTTTTACATATTTAAGTCTGAATAAAACATATGTTTCTAGTAGTGACAGGTTTTTTTTTTCACATGTTAAATATAAAACACATGTTTCTTCCAGTGACAGGTCATTTTTTTTACGTATTTAAGGCATAACACATGTTTTTATAAGTGACAGGTGTTTTTCGTTACAAATTTAAGCTACACGAAAAATACATGTTTCTCCCAGTAACACGTGTTTTTTTAACATTTAAGTCGTATTAAAACACATGTTTCTTTTAGTGACAGGTGTTTTTCATATTAAAGACGTAATAAAACACACGTTTCATCTAATGGCAGGTGTTTTTCATATAAAACTAGTAATAAAACACATATTCCACCTAGTGACAGGTGTTTTTTTATCAAAGTTATAACAAAACACATGTTTCTTTCAGTGACAGGTGTTTCTTAAGAGTTATTAGCGGTATTAAAGACAGGTGTTTCTTAAGAGTTATTAGCGGTATTAAAGACAGGTGTTTCTTAAGAGTTATTAGCGGTATTAAAGACAGGTGTTTCTTAAGAGTTATTAGCGGTATTAAAGACAGGTGTTTCTTAAGAGTTATTAGCGGTATTAAAGACAGGTGTTTCTTAAGAGTTATTAGCGGTATTAAAGACAGGTGTTTCTTAAGAGTTATTAGCGGTATTAAAGACAGGTGTTTCTTAAGAGTTATTAGCGGTATTAAAGACAGGTGTTTCTCTCCCACAGGGCATACGAGAGGAAGGTAGTGAAGGCAGCTGTGTCAAACACGACCCTTGTATGAACGGTGGCAGGTGTTACACAGGTGACCAGGGTCCTCTGTGTGACTGCTCCCTAGTCGACTATGAAGGTCCTTACTGTGAGAAAGGTGAGTTAGGTACCTAGGTGAGTCAGGTGCTTCTGCACATAATTTCTGCATACCTACGTCCTTTTATTATATATATAATATTATATAATATATATATATATATAATATATATTTATATATATATATATATATATATATATAATGTGTGTGTGTTGTGTGTGGTGTGTGTGGTGTGTGTGTGTGTGTGTGTGTGTTGTGTGTGTGTGTTTGTGTGTGTGTGTGTGTGTGTTACCAGAAGAAACACTGCTGGAACAAGTGTTGAAGCCTTCAAGAGGAAACTAGACAAGTATATTCACCAGGTGCCAGATCAACCAGGCTGTGTTGGATATGTGGGGCAGCGGGCCTCCAGCAGCAACAGCCTGGATGACCAGGCAAGCACCAGACGAGCCTGACCCATGGCCGGGCTCAGAGAGTAGATATACTCTCGAAATTCTTCAAGGGTATATCAAAGGTAAGGTGTGTGTGTGTGTGTGTCTGAGAGAGAGAAAGAGAGAGACAGAGAGAGAAAGAGAGAGAGAGACTGCCTCCAACCTCTTCCAAACCCTTTATTTACTTCTCTCTCTCTCTCTCTCTCTCTCTCTCTCTCTCTCTCTCTCTCTCTCTCTCTCTCTCTCTCTCTCTCTCTTCCTCTCCTCTCTCTCTTCTCTCTCTCTCTCTCTTTTCCCTCTCTCCTCTCTCTCTCTCTCTCCTCTCTCTCCCCCTCTCTCACTCTCTCTCTCTCTTGGCTATATCAGTGTACACAAATTGTTGGTTGATATAAATTGATAGTTTACGGGGGATTGCTTGCTATTACTTCCGAAAGAAGGGAGAGAAGAAGGAGAAAAAGAGAGGAAAGAAGGGAGAGGAAATGTAGAGAGGGAAGGAGGGAGGAGAAAGAAGGAAGAGAGAGAGAGAGGGGGGCTAAAGAAGAATAACACAACCTTACTGAACCATAGCACATCAACACTGTGAGATATATTAACCAGTGGTGGTGGTAGTACCAGTGGTGGTGGTAGTACCAGTGTTGGTGGTAGTACCAGTGTTGGTGGTAGTACCAGTGTTGGTAGTAGTACCAGTGTTGGTAGTAGTACCAGTGTTGGTGGTAGTACCAGTGTTGGTGGTAGTACCAGTGTTGGTGGTAGTACCAGTGTTGGTGGTAGTACCAGTGTTGATGGTAGTACCAGTGTTGGTGGTAGTACCAGTGTTGGTGGTAGTACCAGTGTTGGTAGTAGTACCAGTGTTGGTGGTAGTACCAGTGTTGGTGGTAGTACCAGTGTTGGTGGTAGTACCAGTGTTGGTGGTAGTACCAGTGTTGGTGGTAGTACCAGTGTTGGTGGTAGTACCAGTGTTGGTGGTAGTACCAGTGTTGGTGGTAGTACCAGTGTTGGTGGTAGTACCAGTGTTGGTGGTAGTACCAGTGTTGGTGGTAGTACCAGTGTTGGTGGTAGTAACCAGTGTTGGTGGTAGTACCAGTGTTGGTGGTAGTACCAGTGTTGGTGTAACAGTGTGTGTACCAGTGTTGATGGTAGTACCAGTGTTGGTGGTAGTACCAGTGTTGGTGGTAGTACCAGTGTTGGTGGTAGTACCAGTGTTGGTGGTAGTACCAGTGTTGATGGTAGTACCAGTGTTGGAGGTAGTACCAGTGTTGGTGGTAGTACCAGTGTTGGTGGTAGTACCAGTGTTGATGGTAGTACCAGTGTTGGTGGTAGTACCAGTGTTGGTGGTAGTACCAGTGTTGATGGTAGTACCAGTGTTGATGGTAGTACCAGTGTTGATGGTAGTACCAGTGTTGATGGTAGTACCAGTGTTGGTGGTAGGTACACAGTGTTGGTGGTAGTACCAGTGTTGGTGGTAGTACCAGTGTTGTGGTAGTACCAGTGTTGATGGTAGTACCAGTGTTGGTGGTAGTGACCAGTGTTGGTGGTAGTACCAGTGTTGGTGGTGATGTAACCAGTGTTGTGGTAGCACCAGTGTTGTGGTAGCACCAGTGTTGGTGGTAGCACCAGTGTTTGGTGGTAGCACCAGTGGTGGTGGTAGCACCAGTGTTGGTGTGTAGCACCAGTGTTGTGGTAGACCAGTGTGGATGGTAGCACCAGTGTTGGTGGTAGCACCAGTGTTGGTGGTAGCACCAGTGTTGATGGTAGCACCAGTGTTGGTGGTAGCACCAGTGCTGGTGGTAGCACCAGTGTTTTTGGTAGCACCAGTGCTGGTGGTAGCACCAGTGTTGGTGGTAGCACCAGTGCTGGTGGTAGCACCAGTGTTTTTGGTAGCACCAGTGCTGGTGGTAGCACCAGTGCTGGTGGTAGCACCAGTGCTGGTGGTAGCACCAGTGCTGGTGGTAGCACCAGTGCTGGTGGTAGCACCAGTGTTGGTGGTAACACCAGTGCTGGTGGTAGCACCAGTGTTGGTGGTAGCACCAGTGCTGGTGGTAGCACCAGTGTTGGTGGTAGCACCAGTGTTGGTGGTAGCACCAGTGTTGGTGGTAGCACCAGTGTGGTGGTAGCACCAGTGGTGGTGGTAGCACCAGTGTTGGTGGTAGCACCAGTGTTGGTGGTAGCACCAGTGGTGGTGGTAGCACCAGTGGTGGTGGTAGCACCAATGGTGGAGCATCCTTCACCTAAGCTTCTTATATTTCGACACTTGTCAAATTTTTTAAAAAAGCTGCCATACTTTTGTAAGATCAAGTGTGTGTGTGTGTGTGTGTGTGTGTGTGTGTGTGTTTTATTCTACTTCTTTTCCACTTCCTATCCTCTTCCTTATATTTCCACCATCTCTGTGATCGCTATCCAGTCCCTCTTACTCTTCCTCTAGTTAACTCTCATCTCTTCTTGCCATCCTCTTCCTCCTCCTCCTCCTCCTCCTCCAAGTTACACTGGTCATCTCCTCCTCTTCCAGTTGTTGCTGTCGTTGACTCTCCCCCAGACATTAACCAAGTATTAAGCAATAACAGTGTTGATGCAGGGATGGTTAGCGCGCCTCTCACACTCTAAGGATCTACGACAATTGTTTCCCGTCTTCCAACACTCACAGCCTCGTAAACTACCACTCTAGGCTAGTTCCATTATTAAATGCACACTTGTAATAACCTCCTATGTTCCCTCTATGTCAAGAACAAATGTACTCAGAGAGAGAGAGAGAGAGAGAGAGAGAGAGAGAGAGAGAGAGGAGAGAGAGAGAGAGAGATGAGAAAGAGAGAGAGAGAGAGAGAGAGAGAGAGAGAGGAGAGAGTAATGTAAACAGTTACAATGGGATTTAGATGTGAGGAAGGTTCTGTGTCTCTCGTAACGACCTGCTCAAGTTGTGTCCCAGATTTATACCGACACTTCATTTACGTTTTTGTATAGACGTGTACACTGTGATCGAAGTGCTTACATGCGCGCACCTACACACACACACACACACACACACACACACACACACACACACAACACACACACACACACACACACACACACACACACACAGGATCAATACATCGCTTTAACAAGAGGTACGATAAGGCTCTCGAAGCCAAGAGTGTAAACCTAGCAGTGACCAGCGAAGAGATGGGACCAGGAGCTGAGGCTCAACCCCTACAACCACTTATACGTGAGTACATACGAGTACATACACACAAACACAGGAACCAATGCTATCAGATACAAAACTTCTAAAATATTCCTAGAAGGCTATCAGATAATAAGAGGAGCACAGAGAGCAGAGAATGGTACTGGTATTCTGAAAACAGTAGCGTTTTAGCAGATGAAAGAGAGAGAACTGAGTCACGTGGCTACCTAGTAAGCACAGTCAAGCCTGGGGGACCCAAAGTAGTAATAGTAGTAGCAATGACCTAAAACCCCCCACCAAACAGCAGGAGACAACGACAACAATATGAAGCCAAATTATTAACCATAGTTGATTTGGATGGCAAATAAACAGTAAACACAGACCCACACGGAGGATCAGAAACATGGAAGACAAAGATGAAGGTGGTGGTGATGGAATACATTGCATCAATACGTTAGGAACTCAACACAAGACAGAGATGAACCAACAATACCGGATCTGTTTGCCAAACTGCGTCTGACAAAGACAACATTTAATGTGAGAGGCCTCTGTGTGTTAGCAACCATAAAGTACTAATACTGAATACCTTGAGGAAGTAGATAAGGATGGAAGAAAGACAGATGGAGAGGACATGATCAACCAGATTTCAGAAGAAATGTTGAAAGTCTGAGAGAAGTGAATGCAGTGATTCAAGAAAGAAGAAATGAAAGAAGAGTGAAGGAACGAGAAGAGAGATTACCGTAATAGAAGATGATGCGAGGCAGTGAACTTTATAGTAAAAAGAGTATAAATAGTATAAACAAAGAGAGGAAGACACAGGAAATACACAGCATGGAAAAACTGTAGAAAACGAAGGACAGAATAAAACAGTGAAGTGAGCACAAGAACAACAATTATGCAACAATGAGAAAAGTGAAAATTTGAGAGAGAGAGAGAGAGAGAGAGGAGAGAGAGAGAGAGAGAGAGAGAGATAGGTAAAAAGTCTGAACCAAAACAGTTTCACACAAGAAGACAGACGACCTTAAAAACCATGTAATAAATCTGAAAAAAATGAAGAGGAATCTGAGGGAAGGAGCAGAAGCACTATCGGAACCACAGGCTAAGATTAACGAGTCAGTAAATATACTCTGAGGGAAGGAACAGAGGCACTATCTGAGCCAATAGCTGAGATTTACAAGACAATAGATATGTTACAATAGCCAGATATATGGAAGACAATGAATATAGTACCAGTATTTCAGAAAGGAGACAAGAGAGGAGACCAGCATCACTGACATGTACTATACTGTGTACAAGAGACTTGTACAGCTAGCGAAAACAAGATTTGTACCACAGTGGATCAAACAGAAGAAGACAGAGATCAGAATGGGCAAGTGTGAGGGGCGGGGTGCCTCAAGTATTGGTATCAGAACAAGTACTGTTTCTGATATGCGAAACACTAAACAAACTGAAACTATATGGAAATATCGACCTTG